GTTCTCTGAGGGACCCTAGTGAAAAGGGAAAGAATCGGGAATCCTGTGCCCAGAGAAAGAAGATAGGCAGTTGAACTTATGTTTGGAGGCCTCATATTAAATCTCTCCTTAGCCAGGGCAGGAAGGTGACGGGATGGTGAGGGAAGTTTGTTTTTGTTTTTTTCTAATTATTTCCCCACCCCGGTTCATCTTGGGCATCCACTTGGTATTTCCATTTATTTACTTACTTTTTGAGACAGGGTCTCTCTGTGTAGCCCTGGCCGTCCTGGAACTCACACTGTAGACCAGGCTGGGCTTGAACTCCGAGATCGGCCTGCCTCCGCCTTCCAAGTGCTGGGATCAAAGGCGTGCTCCACCATGCCGGCAGCAATTTTCACCTTATCTTCAGTGGCTGGCAGGAAGTCCTAGGACCTTCCCATCTGTGCTTCCCCAGTGCTGGACCACCAGCCTGAGTCACTGGTATCCCCAGCTTCTCAAGTGGTCCCAGAGGTGTGTCACCAGAGGTTGTTAATGGAACGCTCCGTGACATGCTAGGCACATCAATGGGGGTGTACTTGGTATTTCTTTTATTTTCTTTCTTAATTTTATTTTAGATATACGGGTGTTTGCATGCATGTGGGTCTGTGTACCATTTATGTGCTTGGTGCCTAGGGAGACCAGAATAAGGCATTGGATTCCTTGGAGCTAAAATTATAGATGGTTGTGAGCTGCCATGTGGTGGTAGGAATTGAATCTAGGTCCTCTGGAAGAGCAGCTAGCCAGTGCTCTTAACTATTGAGCCATCTGTACAGCCCTCACACTTGGTATTTCTATCTCAAATGGTAGCTGTCTTCTCCTCACCCCCATGGCTGGGGTCTTAATTTGATTGGCTAGTCTGAATTTGATTGGCTAGTCTGAATTTGATTGACTAATCTGAAAAGAACTGGTACACAGGTAAGGAGGAAAAGGTTGCCGCTCCTGGCCATGAACTTCCTGGAATAAGGCAGTGAATCTTTGTAAACAGAAGTTTTACTGAGCTGCAGGGTGAAATTAAAACATTTACATAAAAGTCTTGCGAGGTGGGGCAGGTAAAAAGATTTAAGTTCCTTATCCTAAACACGAGTTGTATAGTATTTCTGCCTGTGGAGGTCAGAAGAAGGTGGCAGTGTGGATCCCACCAGTTGCAAACAGACCACTACCACAATTTAAAGCCAACTTTGAAGCAAGCTTTAATTAAATACTGACCAGGTAGATGGGCTCTGGCCAGGTCCATCTCTGGTTTTCCAGAAAATGGCTGTGAGTCACACCTTGCAGAAGCTTAAAAAGGCAACAAGGTCACCGTTTCCCATCAGGGCAGGCATATATCCTGACGTATTTCCTGCCTACGTACCTCCCACCCACATGTGACCAAGCACATCGGGTGTAGTTGGTCAAACTTGTCTAGGGGGGGTGAAAACATGTGGCTTGTTATCCCTGTAAGCAGGAGCCTCCAGCCTTTTAGGAAACATTTTCCCTTGGGCAAGGGGCCTAAGGATTAGAGGTGTTAGGATCCCGGCCGCTCCTCCAGCTATATGCCTGTGCACACACATTTTAGTGCCAAGGAAGGGGTCTTGCGTCCTCTGCAACCCATGTGCTGTGTGATTGCACAGTGCATAAGCGTGCGATCTGCGCATGCGTGACGTAGCTCCGTAAGCCCACATGTGCATGTGAGGGGAATCCTTAGAAAGCCGGTCACAGACGCCTCCCCTCTCTTCTGCTCTCTCCTCCCCCGCCCCCCCATGTGTCTTTCCCACAGGCCTGGCCACGCTCTCTTCTGTCCCCCTTCCTCCTAATAAAGCTCTGACAATGGGTTTTGTTGTGCCTCGTGACCTTTATCGCACAGTAACAGCGCCACCTATTAACACCGACGAGAGGCATTTTTGTTTCTTTGGATCTCTTAGGCACAGTAATTAAAACTTGAAATGTAACGTTGGCTCTCACAGCAGACCCCTTGGGACCGGAGTTAGGGATGGTCGTAGTCATTATGTAGGTGCTAGGAAACGAACTTGGGTCTTCTGCAAAAGTAACAAGTGCTCTTAACTGATGCACCATCTCTCCAGCCCTGCACTTGCGGCTCTTGCAGGGGACCTGGGTTCGATTCCCAGCACCCACATGTCAGCTTAAAACCATCCATAACTCCAGTTCCAGGGTATGTGATGACCTCTTCTGACCTCTATGGGCCCCAAACATGCAAGTAGTGCACAATCACGAATTTAAGCAAAACAACCATACACAAACTAAAACAAATCTTTAAAAGGGAACATTTATCTTTAGGGGTGGGTTGGGCAAAAGTGCCACAATACACTTGGCAGTCAGAGTCTAATGTCAACTTGACCCAAGCTAGAATTATCTGAACAGAGGGAACCTCAATTGAGAAAACGTCTCCATAAGATCCAGCTGTAAGGCATTTTCTCAATTAGTGATTGATGAGGAAGGGCCCAGCCCATCAATGGTGATTCCATTCCTGGGCTGGTGAACCTAGCTTCTGTAAGAAAGGAGGCTGAGCGAGCCATGGGAAGCAAGCCAGTAAACAGCACCTCTCCGTGGCCTCTGCTTCTAATTCCAGCACTAGGAAGGCAGGTGGATCTCTAGGAGTTCAAGGCCAGTCTGGTCTACACAGAGTTCCAGGCTAGCTGGGCTACAGAATGAGACCCCCAAAATAGGAAAACCCAAAACCCAAACCTAAAAATCCCAGACCATCAAACCATGGCAGCCATGACCACTTCTCCATGGGACACATTGCCAGTGGCGGAGCAGGTGCCCTAGGCTGGCTGTTCTCGGCCTCCTGCAGCGCAGAAGTCCCCCAGGCCTTCAGCATAGTTTTGTCTATAACTTAACAGGCCCCTGTCCTCCGTGGCCATCTGCACAGAGGGCGCCTCTTTTCACTAGTGACCCCATCACCCTTCCTTGGTAAGACCTACTGGAAGAATAAAAAAGTTCAAATCTTCCTAAATTGGTTGAAGGAAACAGTTTTCACATTATAGTTAAGATTTTTTTACATTGACTATGTGAGTGTGCACACTCTTGTGTGTAAAGGTCAGAGATGACCTGAAGGGATCAGTTCTCTGCTCCTACCTCGTGGGTCCCAGGATCTAACTCAGGTCATCAGGCTTGGTGGCAAGTGACCTCACCAGAAGAGCCATCCCGCCAGCCCGATGCCCGATTGTGTGAAAACCACAAGGCAGCTTCCTCTGCGGCTACTTGAAGTTGAACCGAGGGAGCCTCTTACGTCACCAGGAAGCGGAGACCAAGTCCAAGATCCTGTCAGATGTGATACTGTAACAGGAAATTTCAGGAACAGCCATAGCTAAGGGCAGGCTGGCCCATTACCACGCTGGGCAGGAGCTTAGGAAGAATCTTTGACAGGGCTAAAGGTCTTTCTTTTCTGAGACAGTCTCATATAGCTCCAGGCTGGCCTCAAACCTCGTAGATAGAAATCCAAGATGACCCTGACCCCCCTGCTTCTACTAGGACAACATCCCTGGACCACACGCCTAGTCTGTGTGGTGCTGGGCCTTCAACTCAGGACCTGTGCGACATGTTAGGCAAACACTAACAACTGAGCCCCAGTTCCAGACACTGCTGGATTAGTGTGTGTGTGTGTGTGTGTGTGTGTGTGTGTGTGTGGTTTTATTTTATTTTATTTTTTTTTTTTTGAGACAGCCTGTCTCTCTCTTTGGTTTTTCCAGGTAGAGTTTCTCTTTGTAGCCCTGGCTGTCCTGGAACTCATTCTTTAGACTAGGCTGGCCTTGAACTCAGAGATCGCCTGCTTCTGCCTCCTAGTACTGGGATTAAAAGTGTACGCCACCCACACACTACAGGTTGTTGAATCTTAAAAAGTTAATTTTAAGCTGGGTGGTGGTGGTGGCGGCGGCGGCGGCGGCGGCGGCGCACACCTTTAATCCCAGCACTCGGGAGGCAGAGCGAGGCAGATCTCTGTGAGTTCCAGGCCAGCCTGGGCTACAGAGTGAGTTCCAGGACAGACACCAAAACTACACAGAGAAACCCTGTCTCAAAAAACAAAACAACAAAAAGTTAATTTTAGCTGTTTTGACTATTTAATGATAAAGCAACATAAAAAAAATTGACTCTCCCCTCCAAGTGTTCAGATGCCCTCACTTTGCTAAATAATTTATCCACTCCCTTTCATCCAATTTATACAAAGACAGCTTCATCCAGATGCTCTAAGGACAGCTGCTGGCAGGGCTGGGTGTACACTGGAGCCTGAACCAGGCTGGGAAGACACTGAGCTCAGTCAGGCTGCAGAGGCCATTCCAGTTATGGAACTGCAGGAATAGACTCCACCCCGATATAAAGTCAGGGATGTGCAACACAGACCATCTAGGCTTTGCGAGTGCCATCTGAATCATGAGATGTCAAATGGTGTTTAAGGGCGTTTGGTCAGTGGGTAGGAAGGACCTCCTAGCTAGAGAGAACCGGGGACCCTAGGGCTTAAGTCCCAAGCTTTGTAGAGGCGTGAGTTCACTGGGGGGCTTGCTGCTCCCATGAATTACAAAATCGCTGGGTGCTCACTGACACCTCCTCCCTGACCTTCCCCGCCACCCCAAAGTGTCCCCGGGCCACTGACCCGGGGTGCACACGAGGGTCTCAGGTGGAGAACCCAGCTCCTGCCCTCAGAAACTGCCCTCAAGTGTGCACCCTCCGTGGGCTGGTTTCTCCACTTCCTTCTCTACCCAGGATGTAAGATGTGCAAAGCTCTTGCTTAAACCACCACCAGGCAGATGGGGACCTGCGTGCAGTCTCGGTCCCCTGGCTCTGAGGTGACAGGGAGCTGCAGTGCTAAAGGGGGCAGTCCTCGGCCCCCATGTGACAGGGCCTAGAGTGTCCCAGCGTTTAGTTCCGGATGAAAGATGGAGTGGCTTAACCCACACTGAGTGATGTGGACTCAGGGGAAGCTTGGAAGGCACTTGGGAGAGTCCCCGATGTTATGGTGGCTCTGATTCTGTCCCTTGTACAACCAGAAAACAGGCTTTCGGGTGGATGCCAGGGAAGCAAGGGTAAAAACTGAAGACCTGCCCGTATCTCTGGCTAGCAGTCAGTTCACGAGCAGGTTCAAGGCCAAGCTGGTGGACCTGAGCTAGAGAGGCTGCCAGGGCTAAGTTGGACAGCAATCCACACCAGGTGACATCTTCAGCCAGCGACTGGACAGCAGAGCACACACCTGGGAAGCAGTTCTAAGGCAGAAGGCGTGGGGGTGTCCCCTCCGTCACTCTTGGAAGGCGATGCTGCCTAAAGCCACCCATCACGATGCCCTGGGGAGCAGTAGGCACCTTCGTGGGCGTCCCACACCCTCAGACAATGCTGAGCGGAGCCTGGGGGTGTGGGCTCGAACCAGGACTGTCTGAGTACATCAACGTGGAGAGAAAGGGAGATGGAGTTGTGTGAGAAGAGGGGGAAGTGGACAGGAGGGAAGGGGTGCCCTGAGCTTAGAGACGGCCCCTGTGGCTCCACCTCGGCTGCAGTCCTTGAAGAGGCAGGAGGGGACAGGTGTGGGGAGGTCAAGGGCCACCCTAACAGCCGCAGCTGCTAGGCTGGGGGTGTGGAGCATCCCCAAGGGTTGGGGCTTTTCCGTTGCTGCCCGGGCTAGAGCTTGGTTCCAGGGACTCGCTCATCTTCTCACAGATGATGTCCACGAGGCGCTCAAACACCTGCTTCACATTGACATTCTCCTTGGCGCTGGCCTCAAAGAACTCAAAACCTGGATGGACAGAAGGTGGGGACGGTGGGGACAGTCATGTGAGGCCCAAGGAGCGAAACTTAGAAAGTGGGATTGTTCAAACCTGTATTCTGAGCGCGTTCCTGCCCGACCTGCTGTGTGTGTGTGCGTGCGCGTGTGCGTGCGTGCGTGTGTGTGTGTGTGTGTGTGTGTGTGTGTGTGTGTGCGTGCGTGCGTGCGTGCGTGCGTGCGTGCGTGTGTGTGTGTGTGTGTGTGTGTGTGTGTGTGTTTGGGTGTGTTGTTCCTCAG